CCCTAAACCCTCAACCCTACTGAAACAAGGGACCTTTAGGGACGAACACAGCTATCCATCCCATCATTCCTTGCTAAGAACCAGCCAGCTGGTTGTGTGGGCTAGAGATTTTCGTGAGCACCTGCCTGTGCCCTCGTTCCTCAGACCTGCCTTGAGTTTCAGGTTCCTTCCTTTGGAAAGTGAATAAGCTTTAACATTCAGGGTTGAGGGGTCAGGGATAGGGGTTTAGGGTCTAGGATTCATCACCTTACAAGAGAACCGGTGCGTAGACAGGAAAGTCAACGTCCCTATTCAGCGAGCATTAGATTAGAGTCAATGGTATGTTGCCTTGACCCCAAACCGTCCATCGCTATTATAAACTTAGGGCCAACGGGTTTAGGGTTTGGGTGTTCTTGTTTTTTGGCTGAGGGTTTCGGGCTAAGGGTATTTTATCTAAAATCTCAACCCCCCCCCCCCCCCGCCCCCTTACAGGAATACCTGCTAGTGATAGGGGGGGTAAGGCTCAAGGCGGCTTGAGGCTGAAGGTTTGTGGGGTTGTCAAAAATGCACCCCAACACCTTACACCTAGAACTAACCCCAGAACAGCCCCAAACCCCAAACTTAAAGCTTTCTACCCCAAGATCCAAAGCCGTAGAGAGCCGGGGAGGGAATGCACAGGAATACCCCTTTATCACCGCCACAGATCAAAGCCTTGAGCCCCAAACCTCGCGGTAAAATGCAATTGCGCCTGAAACCAATATAGCTACCCCGCGAAACCCCTCTAAAGCAATATACCCCATAGGGGTGTAAGTTCAGAGCTTCCCCGTGGTGGTTGAGGGCAGGCTTAAAGGTTCAGGGTTTAGGGTTTNNNNGGTTTGGGGTTCGGGGCTTGGGGTTTGGGATTTAGGGTTCAAGGCTGAGGAGGGTCATGAGTCAGGTCTTGCACGCAAGAAGCTGGCATGTCAAAAAACGGTCCCGCCGTTCGTGAGATGAGTGCCTCAGACTGTGGAGCGTGATGAAGGTGTGCAAGGAGATTGAATGCTCAGTGTTTGGACAAGGGTTGGGGATTTCTGCCGAAGACGGGGAAGAGTTTCGGTATTTGCCCGGAAGGTAGCTACTGGGGCTTGCAGACTTGATGCTGTCTTGGGAAGTGTATAGTGGCCAGACAAGCAGTAGAAGGACACCACCAGGGATTGAGCTATCAGCTAGCAAAAGCACTGAATACATATGATTTAACCCTAAACCCTAAACCCCTAAACCCTAAACCCTAAACCCTAAACCTAAACCCTAAAACATAGTTTAAGGTACATGTGGCCCTCAACCCTAAACCCAAACAGTGCATCGCTGTGGGCTGCGTCTGAGTCGCCGTTCCACACGGGGATGGAACCCGTTTAGGGCTTAGGGCTTAGGATCGCGCTGCATCTAATGTAGGGGCCTTAATAATTAGAATAGGGTCTGGGGGGTCTATAATACTATACTTATAAGGGAACCCCCAACAATAGCATTGGTAGTTATTTAGGCGCTTATATGATGGTGGTGGTGGTGGTGGTGGTGGTCCTGTCTCGGTCAGCGGTTTAGGGGGCCTTCGGAGACGAATTCCCCAAACCTGAGAGCTGTCTTCTCTGTTCCCAACTTAATGGTCATGCCGAGGCTCTTTGCTCGGGAGTAGATGATGCCGACCGTGGCCTGTACGTTCTGTATGAGCATCGTAGCGGTTGGCGCTGTGTGTGGTCTGGCTACATCGTCCGCCCAGGCTGGGCTGCCCGGTCCGGGATGTGTCGTGGTGGCGGCCCAGCTTGGCCGGGAAGTGGGACTCGGTCCTGCTAGGCAAAGTCCTTTAGCCTCCAGGACAGCCTCGGTACTACGGACAAATGCTGAAAGGGTAAACGCAAACAGTATGTCCGCGGCGGGATCGCCGGGGCGAGTGCCTTTGGCGGTGATGGTAAGCGCTGTGGCATTGCTTATTCTGAACCATGTCCCCGTAAAGAGGTCCTGTATAATACGGACCAGGTGGGGTCCTGCCCCACAATTGGGGATCTCAGAGATAGAGAGCAAATGGTCGCGAAGCTCGACCGTTGCCTCGGGTGGCAACTGAAGGGATGAAAGTAGTGCCAAGAAGCCTGAGTCGGAACTCGGGTTGGGGACGAGGCTCTGTCGAATGACTGAATAGAATGCTGCTTGCAGATCTACGAATGTAACTCCCCATGGTTTGCGGAGTGCTTCGTGTAACACGGCAAAGCTACGGACGGAAAGTGCCGGAGCTTCGATTCCGACGGAGTCCCGGATGCCAGCCTGCATATCTGGTTGATGCTCTAACAAATATGGTTTGAGCTTATCCCGAATGCAACGGTGGACTACTTTACCTGGGACACTGGAGATCAGGATCGACCTATACTGGTCACAGGTCAGTATAGAGTTGGCCTTCTTGGCCAGGACTATGAGGTCTCCGCCCCTCCAGCTGACTGGCTCCTGGATTCGCATGAAAGTCTTAAGGACAACCGGCATAAGTTGCCTGGTAGTTGTTGGGGCGTGCAGGCGTAGAATCTCCGAGGAGATCCCGTCCGGGCCAACTGCCTTATTGGCCTTGAGCCGTAGCACTGTCTGCTCCACGTGCCCAAGCGAGGGCACCGTCTCAATATCGAAGGTTGGATCTAGACAGGGGGCACGTGTGTATTCCAACCCCTCGACATACTGCTCCGTGGTGACCAATTGACCTGCCTCTTGGGCGGCGAAATGTGCGCGCCACGCCTCGGACCTTTCGGCGGTGGTAGTGGCTGTCGTTCCGTCTACTAGCTGGAGCATGGGCACAGCAAAGGTGATTAGCAGTAATCTGCGGGCCGCTTCCCTCCTTTCGTCTGCAAGGTAGATGCGGAAGGCTTTGCGCTGCCGAACGATATCTAGTGTGGTCGTCGTAAGGTAGGGTTTTTGTGGCTGTTCAGCTTGTGGGGCAGCGAGCTCGTTCGCGACTCTAGCCCAGTCACATGCAAGCTTATCATAGTGGCTGTCTACCTCTAGCCACCATGGCTGCACTGGCACAGTAGCTAGTGCGGCATGTGCTGCGCTCGTATGTCGAGCATCGGGTGGGGGGCGGTGGGCCTTACGTTTACTGCTCTGGTAGCGGAAAGCGGGCAACTGCCTGCAGAATTGGCAATGCAGGTAAACGGGCTTATGGTCCTCTCTTAGTTGCAGGAGTTCTACATCCAAGAGTACCCTGGAGGTCATGGTGAATGAACGCCACTGGCACGGGACCATCACGTAGTCGAGGCGGCTGGTGTGTCCTGTGGCCGAAGTCCACGTCTTGGAGGGCCCGACGTGCACTGCTGCATTCGTTGCTGGGAGAAAGCCGTCAATGGTAACTAGGAACTCGTGTAGCAGGGCACCTGCTTGCTGTTCCGTTTCCTCGGCATGACTCCCGATGTGCTGGGAAACTACTGATCCGACAGTGGCGTTCGCATCCGCCAAGATGATGAACTCTGCTCCCTCTGGCCGGCGGGCTAAGTCGTCGGCTCGTGCCTTCAAAAAGGACGAAACAAGGGACACTGGAGCATGTGCCAGGGATGGTACATGCATGACCAGGACGAGCAGGGAAATCCTGGGCGTGACTATCGTGGTTGCCAAATGTCTGGGTCCATAGCCGGTGACAGTTACGTGTTCGTCTCTGATGTACTGTTTTTCGCCGGCAAGCGTTGCTATGGGCTGCTTTCGGGAGATCCAGAGCGAGCAACCTCCGGTGCCATTAGGCTCCGATGCTGACTGGAGGATAATGTATTCGTCATCTGATTGCTGTGAACTGTCGGGAAGTCGGGTTTCCTGTAGCCCAACGAACAACGGCGCATGTCCGGCAAGGGAGTGTTTGAGAATTCCTTTGCGGCCCAACATTCTCAAGCCTGCCGGCATAGACTGGGCCTGCTTAGCACCGGGGTCGCGCAGAGTGAGCACGTTACAGCTGACGCACGCAAAGGAAAAAACCACTTCACCTGATTGTGCCTGCGCGAAGTGTTGCCCCTGCATGGGTGGGGCTTCAATACACCTTCCTTGCTGTTGGAATCGGTGGGCCTCGGATTCAAAGGCGAAAAGTGTGGGGACATCTTTAGAAGGGAGGGTGGCCCACGACCACTGATGCAGCCTGTTTTTGGCGAGGTGATGGGGCCATAGCGGGAGGCAACGGCTCCAGAGGTCTGTGTATTCCCGACGAGCCCGTTTAGATAACTGGTCGACGAGCTCGTTTTCTAAATGGCCACGATGTCCCTTAACGTGTGAGTGGCTGAGCGGAATCTGCATCTGCACATATTGTCGCAGTGAAATTGCAAAGAACATGATTGCATGATAAGGGCTATCTGAGGAGGCGGCAGCGTCGGCTTTGCCTGCCCCTGTGGCATCGTATTTGAAGATGAGCTCGACCCCATAGTGGACTCCGAACTCTGCCGCCCACACCATAGCCCATGTGAGGGCAAGTATCTCTGCAGTATATGCGTTATCGATCTGCTCCCCTATGTGAAAAGGGGTGTGGGCTGTAGCGGCTTGCTCCGCCGCCGCCCCTACGAGGTATCGGCCCTGCTCAGTGTTAGCCCAAACAGATAGGGCCCATGCACAGGGCTGGAGGTCGTCCTCTGTGCCAGCTGCAGACCCATCAGTAAAGATTTCGATGGAAGTTGGGGTCGGTCTTCCTTAGCGCTCCCATAGCTGGAAGTTGAGGAAAGCTGTCCGTAATTCCAAAGGAACACGTGGATCTTGCAAAAGGCCTGTGAGGTCGCTGTCCAGCCAATCAGCGTTGGTGGCTAGATCTAGCATGCCCGCTGGCACTGGTAGCAGGTCCTGCAAATTAAGGCATGCCTGCTGGAAAGGGGTAAGAGGCAGGTGCAGGTACTGTGCGTGTCGTATGTGCCCCTCTTGTGTTGAATGTTGGCCGGCCCCAAATGGCTCGGTGTCCGGCGAGCTATTGGTGCCTCGTGGCAAGGTGCCGGCCTCTTGGTGGCATTCCTGAAGTGTCTCCAGGAGCGTGGAGGCTAAAAAGAAAGCCGGACATGCCGGATCTTTAGCGGAAATCTCCAGCAGTGTCGGGCCGACATTGAAGGACAGATTATGATGCTGATTCCTGCACGGTGTCGCTATTGGCCTGACCGGCGTATGTTGTGGATCAAAACATCCGGTGGTCGCAGCAACGCTAGAGCATACAAGGTCAGCTGGAAGCGCAGGGGTGTGCGCTAACACTTCCTGGGAGTTGGCTCGCAGCAACGGAGCCTCCGTTTCTGTGTTCGCGTGGCTCACGGCTGGAGTTGGTCTATAAGTGCCCTGCGTAGCTGTGACTGGTTGGACACAGACGGCAAAGATTGCCCATGCGACAAAGAGGTAGCTAGCATTTCCTCTGGCTCGTCCTCTGCAGGCTAGGAAAGCCAGGACCAGCGCGTCGTAGGAGCGGGCAAGCGTAAGAGCCGGCAGGCAGCTTGTGCAAAGTCCACAAAGGAGCAACAGGAGGACAGGGGTGAGGCGGATGTTGCACTCTGCAAGGGCATCTTTGAAATAACACCCGCTCCACGTGACTACTCGACTGAAGCTATCGGCCGTGGAAGTTGGCGTAAGGAAAAGGTTTGACTGCTCGGCTGGTGCTCCGCACATAGCTAGTCGGGTCGAGGGGGGACCCTTATCTTTGGGTGGATACTGGTGCTGACTATGCGGTAGCGCTGCATGTGAAGTGTTGGAAGTACCTGTCGCGGGAGAGGCATGGCTCCCGGTGTTAGAGCTTCTGGCACGTGGCCAGTGCCTGGGTTGACCTGTAATGGCTCGCATGACCTGTCGGTACGTATCTGCGAAGCCGTGATGGTCGTCGCGACGAGTCTCCTCCATGGTGGGGGAGGGGAAGTCTGCACGTCTATACTCCACTTCTAGTGTGGCTCCGGGCTCGACATGACGGAGTGTACCGCTTGGGGTATTTCTTGCACTTCCACCTCTGACAACAACTACATATCCGCGGGGGCAGCGGTGTCTATGCCTAGCTTC